CCCCGTGCTCGCCGGCGCCCGCCGGTGCTCCCCGGTGCATCCCGCCGTGTCTCCCCGTTCATCCCGCAGCCTCCCGGTGCCCTTCGTTTCTATCCCGATCCATCCCAGTAACTCCCGGTGCATCCCCGGTGTCCCTCGTGTTCTGCCTGGCCATCCCGCTGCATCCAGGTTCATCCCGGTCCATCCCACCGTGCCTCCCAGTGCTGCCCAGTGCAGCCCACAGCACCGGCAGTGCCCCCCGTGCCCCTCCTCCCGAGCCCCCGGAGCCGGTCCCCATCCCGATCCCCATCCCGGTCCCCATCCCGATCCCCATCCCGGTCCCATCCAGGTTTCCATCCCGGACCCATCCATGCCCACGGTCCCGGCGGGGACACACCCCGGGCCGGGGTTGGGGACCCGGGCACTGGCTCCACACGGAGCCACTGGGCACGACCTAGAGGGGTCCAGTGCCCACCATGCTGGGCCACCCCCTGCTGGGGTGTCCCCGAGGGGCACATCTTCGTGACCGTGTCACCTGTGCTGGGGTGTCCCCAGGCGCCGGGGACCCGTCCCAGCCCGTGCCCCCCCCCCTGTCTCCATTTACTCATGCTATCCCACTGATCATGCAGCCCCAAAGAGAGTTCAATGATCATAAATGATGGGACAGTACATTATTGTGCAGTTGTAGGGCCAACTATTTCATTTAGCATCTCCACCAGAAATGCTACATGGTGAACACAGCACCATAAGTGCCCAGCTCCAGAGAAAGCCAGAATTTCCACAGTGCCTAGAAATCATGTGGATCTTTGAAAATCCCTCTTAAAAAAGGACTGCCTCTAGTTTTTATGGAAAATTTTTGCCAAACTAAGTTGCGCTCAGCGACCTGCTGCTGGCGCTCTGCTGCATGCCCTTCACCCTGCTGCCCGGCCTCATGGGCGCCTTCGTCTTCGGGGAGGTGGTCTGCAAGCTGGTGGCCTACCTGATGGGCAGGGCTCAGCCTGGGACAGGCTGTCCGTGCTGTCCCGTGCCATCCCGTGTCATCCTGTGTCATCCTATCCCATCCCATCCCATGCTGTGCCATCCCGTGCCGTG